TTGCCATGAACTCCTCCCCTTGCCCTTGCTCCGGCTTGGGCTTATCCACAGTCTGCAGTCCCTTCCATGAGCTACAGTCTCTCCAGGGGCATATCTGCTGTGGCATAGACTTATCCACAGTCACAGTAAATTTGAGGTGCCCAACGTGGGGCACAAAGGGTTTGAGATAAAACCAGATTTGATTGGAATGTGGTAGATTGAATTTATAGCTGTTATTGCTGTTTAGCACTTAATTGGCAGGCTCCTGTGCTTGCCCTGGGGCCACGGGTTTGCTGTCCTTACTGTATATTAGAGTCCAGTGCTCGTTAGTGGCTGCTTTTTGCTTTCACTGCTTGCTGTACTGCTGTACTGCTTATCATCTTACTCTGCTGTGCCTCACACTAGCTTCTATGAAGAAAATTAACTCTATCCTGGCTGAAACCAGGACAACAGTGTTCAAGGTGCAGCCTCACCAGTGCCTCATACAGGAGGATAATCCCTTCCATAGTCCTGCTGGCCGAACTATTTCTGATACAAGCTAGGATGCTATTTGCCGCCTTGGTCATCTGGGCACATTGCTAGCTGAGTATTCATCTGGCTGTCAACCAATACCCCCAGGTCTTTTTCTGCCAGGCAGCTTTCCAGACACTCTTCCCCAAGCCTGTAGCATTGCATGGGGTTGTTGTGACCCAAGTGCAGGACCCAGCATTTAGCCTTGTTGATTGCTTGCGAACAACTAGACAGCAAATTAGCAAGTAATTACTTTTGGCTGTCACTCATTGCCTCCTTTAGGATCAAGATATGCTAGTGTAGCTAAGGTCATACTTAATCCTAATTGAGTAGTTACTCAATATGAAATGGACTGAATTTTCTAGTAGCAGGTTCCAGATTTTTTCTAAGCATGTTAATGTAATGACATGTAAATGTTGAACATTAATCATGAGAAAAGTATAGGTAAGAAAAATACATTTGAGGTAGAAATGAATAAATGAACCGAATGACCCAATAAATTCAAAATTTTTCATAAGTCAGTGGAAATCTGTCAGTCAGAAATTGTGCCAATGAGAATTATAAATAGTTTCACACTTGTGTCTTTGGAAGGTGCATCACTTATTCCCTCAGCAAGTCTGCAGATGACACCAAGCTGAGCGGTGCAGTTGACACGCCTGAGGGAAGGGTTGCCATCCAGAGGGATCTTGACAGGCTTGAGGGGTGGGCCCATGTGAACCTCATGAAGTTCCACAAGGCCAAGTGCAAGGTCCTGCACCTGGGTTGGGGCAATCCTCAATACAGAGGCAATCTTCAATACAGACTGAGGATGAATGGATTGAGAACATTCCTGCAAAGAAGAACTTGGGGGTACTGGTGGATGAAAAATTGGACATGAGCCGGCAATGTGCGCTTGCAGCCCAGAAAGCCAACCATATCCTGGGCTGCATCCAAAGAAGTGTGGCCAGTGGGTTGAGTGAGGTGATTCTCCCCCCTCTACTCCACTCTGGTGAGACCCCACCTGGAGTCCTGCGTCCAGCTCTGGGGACACCAGCACAAGACATGGACCTATTGGAGTGGGTCTAGAGGAGGGCCATGAAAATGATCAGAGGGCTGGAACACCTCTCCTATGAGGAAAGGCTGAGAGAGTTGGGATTGTTCAGCCTGGAAAAGAGAAGGCTCCAGGAAGACCTTATTGTGGCCTTTCAATATATAAAGGGGGCTTCTAAGAAAGATGGAGAGAGACTTTTTATCAGAGCCTATAGTGAAAGGACAAGGGGCAATTGTTTTAAACTGAAAGAGGGTAGATTTGGACTGGACATAAGGAAGAAATACTTTATGATGAGGGTGATGAGACACTGGAACAGGTTGCCATCCCAGTGAAGTTGTGGATGTCCCATCCCGGGAAACATTCAAGGTCAGGTTGGAATGGGCTTTGAGCAACCTGATCTAGTTGAAGATGTCCCTGCCCATGGCAGGGGAGTTGGACTAAATGATCTTTAAAGGTCCCTTCCAACCATTCTATGATTCTATGATCAGTGTTGTGCCAGTGTATACTAGAGGTGAACAGTTTTGGTTTTCCGAGTGCTTCTCACTTAGATGCACCAAAACATTCTGTGTGTTGGCTGGGTGTCGTGGTTTAACCCTGAAAAAACACTCCTCAGTCTCCCCTTCTCTAAGTTGAACAAACCTACTATCCTCAGCTGCTCCTCATAAGTCACGCCCTCCAGTCCTTTCACCATCTTTGTTGCCCTCCTTTGGACATATTCTAATATTTTTATATCCTTCTTATATTGTGGAGCCCAAAACTGCACACAGTACTTGAGGTGAGGCCACACCAATGCTGAGCATAGTGGGACAATCACTTCTATCAACAAAGCAGCAGCACAACAAATATGATATATGGGTTTGCAAAGTAACTTTCAATCTAGAATATAATTTGATATGGAGTATGCTATTTGATTTGAATTTGCATTTAGTTGTGATTAATGTGCATATACTCAAACACTTAAGGCAAAGTCTAAGTGGTTTTAGGGTTTAATTATTGATGTAAATTAACAATAGCTTTTTTTTACCATACATATGCAGTCTTATTTATTGTATATCCTGTCACTGTAATAAGAGGGTTGTTAATAAGTTGTAAGGGGAATCTAGGTATGGAATTTATACTTTGCTTTTTATTTTTTGTTACTGTGGGCTGATCATTGTTACATGATGTGAAGGAGGTAGTGCCACATATGACAGGGTGAGAAAATGGTTGGAGTGTGTTGTAGAAATACTTATTTCTTCAAAGAATTCTTGAACTAAAAATTAAGTGATGCTTTGTGCCAGAATGACTATAATTGTTGAGGGCCTGATTCTGACAGCTATATCCACACTGGGGCCTAGCTTCTTGTCTGATGGTCCCATTGGCCCCAGGGGGGTTATGGGTAGAGTGAGGGTCCAACTGATTGAAAATGTATGTCCTAGGCTTGTTCAGACTTGAGAATGTCATCTCTCACGCTGACGACTGGTTACAGGTCAGTCTTCCATTATGTGGCCTAAGAAGAGAGAGATTTACATGTATAGTTTCTATTCCCACTGTTGCAGAACCAAACTTTAACAGTAATTCAGATCACCAGTGCCAAGGTGACTAGAACTGAAGAAAATGTAACAAATTAGACCAGGTCTGTAGCTTGGACCTAGCAGAGCAATAAAGTTAAGAAATTTTAAGGGATGGGAACTATATTGGTGGTGGTCTTGTTCTCCTCATCTGGATGTGGCCTTGATTCAGCTAATGGGCTGAATTAATTGAACCCCCTCCCACATGCATTTTCTAAAGAGACTATAGGGGTGGTTATATAAAGTATATCTACTCTAGCTGAATGCTTTTTTGTAAGTGGGAAGATAATTTTCCATTCTTATGTAATTTTCTCTGGCAAGGCAAGTTGAATATGGCTCCATCTAGAGTCTGTCTCCTTTGCAATCTCTCTCTGCCTTTTTCTTTTTTTTTAATCCATGGTTTGATATGGAGCATACCTGCTCAGCTCATGTGGGTTTAGAAACAGATGTTGTGTACGAATTATCCCCTGCATCACACCATGTTATGCAGGTACTGGACCACTAAGGCACATTGTTTCTAGATGGTCCTTTCTGCTACACTCTGTTGCACTCAGGACTGCATCTCTTTATGTGAATTTAATATTTTTTTACTTTATATAAGGCTGAAAGAAGTACTGAAGTACTCATGCTCAC